GTCTGTAAGCGGTGCATAGGGCAGTTCTTCCCCATAAGAATGGTCTGCCCATGGGGCACTTCTTCACCAAATATCGGTTTGCGGGTCTGGGGCACTTTTTCACCAAATATCGGTTTGCGGGTCTTTGCCATCTCCCCATAGGGCGGCTCCTTCAAGTATTATCGATTTGCAACCGGCCCATACGGCGCTTTTTTGGATATCGGTCTGTAGAATCCCATACGATAGTTCTTTCTCAAAATATTGTTTGTGGGTAGTCCGTAGAGCAGTTTTATCACAATATGCTGTGGTTTATGGATTTCAAGGCACTTCTTCCTCAAAATAACATTGTGTAGGTCTCTAAGTAGCTGGTAGCTTCGTTTTTCCTCAAAACTTTGGTCTGCTGATAGAGCAGATCATACGTGACCGCCTCGTAGGCGTACAGTTTTTAGGGTAGGGTTTAGAATATCGGGCTGATGGCTAGGGCAGTGCTTTCTCATAATTAAGAACCATAAGGGTCTGCAAGCGGCTCATAAAGCATTTCCTTCTAATAACTAACAAGGGAGGGATACATCGAAGTGGCGCCTCCATATGAGATGTATACTGTCTTATAGAGCATGGAACGCTGATTTCAAATCTGCCTTCGGTATTAGCAAAGCGCTTGAGAGTGGAGTTATGGCAATTTCTGATGCAAAAATTTAAAATCATCGCTATAATAAAATCATTCAGAATTTGAGTTTGTAAGTTCAGTTGAGGCCATGATTACTACCGGGGCGTTTCATACAATAAATATCTTTAGTTTAATTAACTCATGTCAGTCATTACTCTTTCCAGCGCCGAAAAGATCTCAACACATTTTTTTACCTTAGCCGAATCATTGAATTTTTACCTCAAAAAACTCCCAGAATTCCAATCCCAAAAGCGCTTTGCAGATACCGCAGATACCGAAGGCAGATTTGAGATCAGCGTTCCATGCCCTATAAGATAGTATACATCCATCTCATATTGAGACGCCACTTTGACTAAGTATTATCCCTCCCATGTAAGTACCGTTCGCGGGCGGCCCTTTGGGCAGGTTTTTCCGTCTGTTAGCAGCCCATACGGTTTCCTTGCAATATTAGTTTGTAAGGGGGGGGGGAGGGCGTATGGCAGATTTATCCCAGAATATGATGCATTTGTAGGGGTTTGAAGGGTTTGTTATGTTTCCAGATTCCCTCTCTGTAGAAAGCCGTAGGAAAGATTTTTTTCTTGTAATTACGTTCTGGAGGGTCAAAGGGCAGCTGTAACACATGTCGCTCTGTAGGCGTATGCGGAGCACTGTTTATTTACAAAAACTATTATCGGTCTATAAGCGGTCCATAAGGCACATCATTCCTACAATTATTGGTCTGTAGGCGGCGCAGCAGCTTCTCTTCACGATATTATTTGTATGTAGCTTGATATATGGTTTTGTAAGGGCTTACAGTTTCCTCTTCAATGGTTCGCAGAGTACTTGTAAAGAGGGCGGTTCGAATTGATAATTTTGGTCTTGAAGCGGCTCCTAGGGTCTTCTCAGAATATTGGCTTGAGTGTTTGTAGGGCACTTCCTCCTCAAAATTTCGTAAAGGCGGCCCGTAGGAAATTTTTTTCAAATATTATTGTGTATGAAGCTCAAAGTGTAGTTAAATTATGGGTCTATAAACCCATATAGCATTTCTTTCTCAGAATATCGGTTTGTAAGCGGACGGCGGTGTCAATTTCATCCCTGAATTATAGGTTTGTAGGGGTTCGAAGGGCAGTTCTTCCAGAATTTTTTGTAAAGGCCCCCATAGGAAAGTTTATTATTCAAAATTGGTTTGTAGTTTATTACAGGGTAGTTCTCTTCAAAAATATCGATCTGATGAGCAACCCATTTCTTTATTTTGGAAATCTCAATAAATTTTGGGCCTGTAAGCGGCTCTTATGGCTATGTCTCTTAAATGTGAAAGGATCTTAGGGCAGTTTTTGATATTGCTCTGTCGGTTCGTTGGCAGCTCTTTTTCAAATTGCTTTGTAGGCGGCACGTAGGCATAAAATCTCAATAAGTGTGATAGGTAAGCTGCGCCCTTGGGCACCTCTTCTCAAAATATTGGGTTTTGAAGGCTTACAGTTCAGTTCTTTTCATGATAATTGGTCTGCAGCCCACAATCGTGCTTCTTTTACATATGTGTGAGTGACTCGCAGAGAGCCTTTGGGAATAACATCTTGTTGGAAGAGGGGGGGGGGCAGGGAGGCAGTAGGGCAGTCCTTATTTAGAATACTGGTCTATGAGCGACCCACTGTATTTCATAGGGACATCCTAAAACCGGCCCGCAGGGCAGTCGTGGGGTGATCAGCATGCTCGATTACACCCCCTGCCAAATTCCAGCCCCCTAGCTCAAATTTTGCAAAAAAATTGATAAAATCGACATCGATCGATAACGAAAAGTGGACTGTGGCACCCGCCGGGGCCCGAAGTGTATGTGTGCCAAGTTTGGTCCGGATCGGTTGAGAAATGGAATTTTCTATTCGGAACATACGGCGGAGCCGGGTAAGCCAGCTAGTAAGGAATAATATCTTTAGCTTATCTCAGCTCTCTTATCTCAGAAACCGAGAATTTGCGTTTTCATAGCCTTTTTTACCTTAAAATTGTTTTTGTGGGATTTTCGCCGGAATTCAGAACAAAATTTGTTAGTTAACCTCTCATTTGAACAAAACCGAGTTTTAGAAGTTTAGAAAAACTATTGGACTTGAATAAAAACGAGAAACTGCGCTTAATTTTCGCGCAGAGTCGCGCACGAAAACGCTGGTCTATCTCGTTAATGAGTGATTTTTGCAGCTTGGGACGTTGTCAGTTCTCCTCGTCGTGTCATGCCGATCAGAATGATATATAATGTTGCGGGGTTTCGTTGAGACCCCGCGGAGATCTGCGACCAGAGCCAAATGCCCCGTCTGCTCTGGTCTGTCTCCGCTGCTCGTCTGCGTCTCCGCGCGCTGCGCGCTACCTCGCTACCACAAACGCGGGGCGCGGGGCATTTGGCTCCGGTACCCTTTTCTTCGCTGTTTCGAACCCAATTTTAGCAAGCTATATATCATTTTGAAGCTCTTGATCTCTATTTTCACGCTGACAACGTCCCAGAACCATATTTTCTGATTTGATCGAGAAATCCGGCAAAAACCTTGTTTTCAAAAATTTCTTGTTTTTCTCTTAGTTTAGCTATTTTCACGCGGTTTTTTCGTGCATTCTATAGAATTTGCTTTTCATAATGCAGACAACCACCCAGCCCTTACCTCTTCGATTATGGTGGAATTTTTTGCGAAAAATCGTAAAAAGTCCGTTTTTCTTTAGCTCGTTCTGTTTCAGTGCTATCGCATCAATTTTTTTCCAGTATGGGCAATTATTGCTCAGAACAATAAGCGCAACAATCCAGACAACGTCCCAGGAAACAGGAACGTCAATACGGGGGTAAAAGTTCAAAGGACGCATTAAAAATCAAAGCCCCGTGTTACGAATTGCTGGTCCTGGAGCGAAAATCTGCACTTTGAAAAGCCGCCAAATGAAAGATTTCAAACTTCTTTGCAGCGTTTTTATGCGGTTTTCAGCAGTTTCTTTTGCTTTTTATATATGTTTTATGTCGTTTCCTCTTTTCTGCTCATCTTTGAACAACCTTCACTATTTATGACGTCAGATGTTCAAACCACCTTCACTTTTGACGACCTGTCTCTAGACTATCGAAGGTATGGTATGGTTTGTAGGATATTGTACAGTACTTTTATCCTTATGGACTTAGGAATGCTTTTTTTTAGTTAAAAGTTCGTAATGTTGAGTGACTATTCTTTTGCACCCAAATGAATTTGCCTTACCAGCTGTAAGCGGCCCTTAGGGTCGCTAGTCCATTAAAAGAAACGCAGCATCTGAAAGTCCAAGCTGGCACATTCGGCACCCTCGGTCGCTATTAGCGCTTCGGGGTTCGCTCCTTATCATCAAACTCCTGTCGCAATTCTACATGCTAAATTCCTGCCTTCACAACTGTGGTTCCTAACAGCAGATTCATTTATCATGCAGACTATCCTTGAACACAAGCGGAACAAAATAAATTCTTTCGTCTACAGGCGTCATCGTGCCCTGCTGAAGACATGCTTGAAGCTTGTTGCTAACGAAAAGCGAATAGATTTTTTCAAAACAGAGATGTCATTCAAATCTATGAATGGTCCACTAATTACTGAGCCTCTCCAAAAATTATTATGGATCACTGATGGAGTAAAGTAGCAGGAACACATAAACTGCAATATCAATCTTTTAGAAACAGCGTACAATTCATAATTACAATTCTAAATGTCTTTTCAGGGTATTTGCCCTGCAGGATTTGCCTGCAATAATGGTTTCTGTTGTCCGCAATGTCCTAACAATGTGATGCCATTTGGAGCATGTCGAAATGGTATCTGTGGAGGAGGAAAAACATGTCGAGCCGGCAACATATGCTGCTGATGTAAGAAATCGTTGAATGATCATTATCTTTGTATAAATTGCATTACACTTTTTAAAGAGTTCTATAGAAGAATGAAATTATGAAATTGGTCGCGTCACACAATACTTGGCCATTGAATAAGTGATTATTCTCTGCTACACTGCAATGCTAGATGCATGAACTACGAGTTGAATACAATGCGACTTAACGTCTAAGATCCTGAACTTCAATTTTGCAGTAGTCCATATAGCACAGAAAAGTTCACTTAGGCTGCGAGAGGGATATTGTACGCTCATGTTATGCCATATATGAAGTGATCCTCTATAACAGTCTCCACCCTCCGCTTCCCGCAAACTCCCTTCTTATCTCCTAAGCATGTCTTTATACAATGTTCCTGACAAAATGAAGCAGAGTGCTACTAAGAAGGTAGGAACGCTTTAAAACATGTTGAACGAAACGTAAATTTAGAGTCAACGTAGAAATTATTTAGACAAATTTATGCAAGAGTAAACACTTATGACATTTTATATGAGAGCAATATCACACTTAATACTTACTTCAGTTCATAATTTTGATCGCAGAGGCAACTACGATAGGTATAAAAAGCGCTGCGACGGTGCCAGCACCAGAATCCACATCTCTGATGTCTTTGATATTTTGCTCTGTATTGCAGTAATTAGACTTGCAACAGCAGCGAGTCAGTGCGAACAGCGGCAACATCTCACAGCCTTCTCTCTGAAATTGAGTACAATAACAGTGAAAAGTAAATTGAATGCATTTTCAAAAATGTAGGAGTTTACAATTTTTGATATTAATCTCTACATTATCGTTTAGAGATACATAGTGATAAACACAAAGGTAAATGCAAACAAGTAATTGCAATCGCGATTAGTTATCATGAAGGCATTATTGTCGTTTCCGGTCCTCTTCATGGCTCCAATTTGAAAGCTAAAGCGCAAATCGTAAAATATCGACCTCCTTTTGGAGATCCTATTCTTGCGTGCATAAGCGCATCAAAGCTAAAGGTGGTGAGAATTTCGTTAGGTCGTTTCAAAAGTTCGTAGAGTTTCATTCTCATTCTCATGTCTTTGAGGAGCAGTTGATTTGCGGCAAGATGCTACATCTTGAGATTAGCTAATCATACCCTTTGAGGTGAACTAATCATTTTTAATGAAAAGCTAATTTGCTTTGACTTCTTAGCTTCCAAAGAAGGACTTTTCAAAAAGCAAAAAGAAGCATTTTCGGCATTTGCTTACGTTTTCTTATCAAAAAAGCGTTCCACGCAGATTTTTTTGCCGGTCATGTAAAATGGCTTCTCGTCAATATGAGACAAAACAGGAGTGGATTGCCAAAATTTACCAAGTGTTTACAAGGTGACTGACCAAGACTTTTTGCAGGATGGGCAGGAGATTATGCATTAAAAATTGCTAGGCAATGAACAAAACGGTCGCTTTTACCGCACCCCGACTGCACCGTCCAAACCAATTCCTCTTGCAGAAAGGGCCCAATCGACTGGTCCGGTGTGCTTTCCTGCGCGACAAAACTTAGCCCATTAGGACAACCGTCGTCGTAGCTGTCCCGCAAGACATGACCGGGTTGTACTTTAATCTCCAATGTACTTAGATCTCGCTTTAGCACATCATCATCTGGCTAGTCTATCACAAATCATATGAACGGCGTCTGTTTTGTTTTGGAAACGATGAAAATATCTCAGGCGCTAGACAGACTATTTTTTTGAGACTAGACCCCCCGAGTTCTGGAAAAGCGGAGCTAACCTGACCGCGTGGTGGCAGAAGGTTGTGTGCAACAACGGAACATGTATCACCTGACTGATTCTTGATAGAATTTTGTCATTTTGTTGATTGATAAAAACTCTATGAACCTATGAAACGACCTAGTATTCTGGATTAAAAAGTTGCATCTCTCGAGCTGATTCGGCGCCTGCCTTGATTGAAGGATTCATTGCATGGCATCTATTTCTGCGGTAAGCTGATTTTTCCCGGACGCTGCCTCCAGATATTTTCGAATAGATTGATGTCTCCGATGTGGCTCTACTAACAAGGAAGGGATACTTGATGAATGCGACCTTACAATGAAGCATAAACTTATGAAAACGTTTCGATAAGCTGATTCTCAATCTCACTTCAATTTTTGGTACAAAAATTTTTCAAGAATGTATGTGTTTGTATGAACCTTTCCAACGTTGTAATCTAAAGTGTGCAGATGGTTTACCACGCGCCAAAGAACCAGACTATCAAATTGGAACAAACTTCCTAGATGTTTCTAATACGTAAGCTTAGCGATAGCTCTAAGCCTCTGCTCTCTCAATCATATATCCAAAATTTTGAGTCATCAATAAGTGACAACTATGCGCTAAAATGGCTTGCCTTCTACTCGCTTTTTAGCTCTAAGTTTCGTTCTCAGCCTGTAATGTGTGCAGAGAGAGCAAATTGATGACTGAATTCACAATCTTTGGCTACATGGAACCATAACGGAGATTGTAATCTGCTGTTTGTGAGTCTCCGCAGCCTAACATGTGAGAAATTGCAAGTTTTTGCTCTGGAATGTCATTTTTGGGAATTTTGATGGTCTACGGTCATGCGAATGGTCGGAAAGTTGAAAGTTTTGTGTGGATGCCAAATGTACCTTGTAGACCCAATCTTAGTTGGGTTTTAGTGAAAAAAAATTTTCGTGATGAGGAAATCTGGCTATTTATTTTCCTGCACCATTTGTTCATCATAAAAGTATTATTTAAAGAAATAGAGTTAACCATACGATTCCCTTAATTTGTTCTTTCGTATGGTACCATGCATTTGCACATTAGTCATGTTACGTTTCTACAAACAATACTACGCTGTAAAGAAAATTCCAAATTACTTTTGAAAGAAATTTTCAAACATAGTAACTTCAAGCAGACTGATCCTTTTAAATTTTGCTGAAAAGAATGGTGTTTTCTACAAGATATGCGTGTTTTATTGAGTCCTCCGCACTTCATTTCTGTCCACTAGCATGCGCAGAAGGAAAACCTTCCTTATACGAATTGAGTCAAAATTGTGATTACTGCAAACCAATGTACTCCAATCGAAAATGAGTCGCTAAATTTTCGGAAGTTACTTACATGGGTTTTAAAAAGATACAATTGACTTGTTTATGTCTGTAAATAATTAAAATATTATAATTTTTCAATTATTCCCTGAAGTGGCCGCCACCTCCCCCCTCTTTCTAAAATTTCGAGCTTATGAATCAGCAAAAATATTGGGAAACATCTCAGAAACCTGTTAGGAATGTGTGGCTAACACCACACACCTTTATTCAAAAAATTTATGCCGCCTCTCCTTCCCCCTCCCCTGAACGAAAATTCTGGGACCGCCACTGCTGCAAACATGATTTGGGCAATGCCTTTTGTTACCAAACTTGAAATGTGAATTTTTCACCATAACACTTTACTTTTTGGTGTATGGATCAACGATTTCAACGATTCACATCGACAAAAATTAGAAGCGACATCGAAACCTGAGCTTTCCACTACAGAACATTACGAAAAATATACCGCTTAAATTTCGAGTGCGAAGAACATGAGTACGAAAATTTTATGGAGTGTGGGAACTTTCTTTACGCTCCACAGTTCGGTTCTAACTACATCAAGAAATGATCAGTAAAGTGGTGTTTTCGTACTTGAAAATCATAAAGGCTTAAAAAACTTTCAAAATCTAAGCTGTTACCGTGGAGCAACCGTAATTACAAAATAGTGAATCTGTCCGATTATTGGTGCGAAGAATCAGCTAGATACGCACGAGGTTGCGAAAAGAATAACATTGGGCGTTATGTTACCTTATGTACCTTATGCAAACCAAAAACTATTTTTAGTCTCTGCAGTTTGCTTATGTTAACGCATTGACGAAACACCACATGGTGGGTCATGCAATGTCTGCCACTTGGGACAATGTGACCCACATAGTGATTCACGGCTAAGTTTTGTTGAAAAGACGCTATTTTGGAATGCATTCGTTTCAGAAGCTCTCAAACGCTCTAAACTTAGAAATTGCTCCCGTGTTTCTCGCCTGCTTCATGGAATTACTGTAGGTATATACTGTAGTTCACGATCTGCATGATTTTAGCTAAGAATTTTTCGACTTATCCGTGAAATATTGTCCCAAGAGGAGGACAACTAAAAACGCACGTTGTAGTCAACGTGTTAACAAACGAATCTTTACAGAAAGCTTTGAGAACATTGTAGGAAGAAAAAAGAAAAAAATGAAAAAACGCAGTATCAAGTCTGTAAACAGTGTGAATTTTGATCTAAAGACTTTGTGGAAATACTGGAAAATTGAATGAGTGAATTCCTTCAAAGATAATAAGGTGTACTATCTCATATCACCAAATTCTTGTTTTCGCTATTATTATGTCAGCAATTCTTCGCTTCCCCTAAACTGCTTGCGCTTACCCAGCATGTGAAGTCAAAGAATTTCTTCAGCGTAGCTGCTGGCTCACCCATTGCCTCGCAGTTACCGGTGATGCCATGGAAGCGGTAGCCAGGGAGAGCCAGACTGCCATTAAGACTGAAAATTCGAATTTAGCTAATCGTTGTTGGATTTGATTTCCATATTGGGAGTGCAAATTACGAAGACACTTACGTCATGCAGAACTCCACATTTACAGGGCAAGTAACATTTTCGTAAACGTCAAGTGGAGCACTCTCGTTTCCTGTCACGAATGAGTAACAGTCCAGGCCTTCAGCATGGCCGCTAAAGAAAACCAAGATGAGAGAGACGACCAAGTAGAGCATTCCGAGCGGTTGACTACTCATCTTATCACCGCCAATAACAACGCAGTACCAACAAAAACATGGACTCAAGCGAGGGTGTTGAGATTCTTTGTGTGTGAAAAACAATCTGTACGTGTGTCATGATACTAGCAGTATCAAAAAAAAAAAATTCAAAAAACACATAGGATGGTCTCCAAGAGATTTTAGAACAAATGTGATTGGTTTCTTAGTAACGAATGCTGAGAGGAATTACCAAGCAACAGCTTTTCAGTATTACAGGATGTCGGTTCCAAAGTCGGTCGTCTGCCTACTTCTCCTTTGTGGGGTAAGAAGACTACCTTCCCGAAATTTTACATATAATAAGCTCATGTAAAACACTTGAGTAGCTCATATGAGACACTTTTGGAATAATTTAAACCTGTATAGAACTTAGTTATTAACATTTAAGGTTAAACAATTCGTGAGTGGCACATCGTCTGGTCGATCCGAAAAGGTCGTCGGAAGTAAGTTTCACCAAAATTCTTCCAAACAAAAATTGCTCAATTCTTGACTAGTAAATAACAACGTCCTTTATTCAAACCGAAAATGAATGAACGAAAAAATGCAGTAGGGATGGAACCTAAAGCCTTCATAAGACTTTCTGTCTTACTCTTCTCTCAAATTTAAGCGGTGTGCAAGGTCCGCGATCTCGAAAAGATGGAAAATAATGGACAAAACGTGGCTAATCCAGAAGTGAAGAAGGAAATTCCAACCATTCCTTACTCCGGAAGGGCCAGGAGGGATACCGAAACTCGTAAGTTGAAGATTCTGTGAATTTACGAAAAATTTGGTACAAGGAGATGGAGTTAAAGAACAAACTCAGCAAAAACGGTTGTGTTATTTCAGTGGAATGTTACGTTTGCGATTCCACTACCGAATCGGTGCCCAAGAAAAATGAAGGAGTCAAATCAGCAGATATGGCTCCCATTCCTGCTCATGTGATCGCAAAGGAGGAGGAATCGCTCCCTGACGATGTGTTCGAAGCTGGAGCAGAACCTCAAGACGAAAGTAAGCGAAACTAGTTGATCCTAAAAAGAAAAATGAATCATTTTAGAGAGCAACCGTCGTAACCAGAAGCGAGCTCCCACAACGTGCTGCATCATCAAGCATGAGAACACTGCGAGCAATATCAATTCAACACCTGCAATCCAGGAAAGCTGCGATCCTCTTTCTGATACCGAATGCAGCTTCTCGAAGACTAGCTGGATTGGACAGTTCGCCATTTCAGCCGAATCCGCTCTCATCTGAAGTCGGAGAAGAACAATTCCACTGTAGCTAAGATTGGGAGTAGCTTTGGGTTTTGGTGTAGATGCTTGTCCCTAATGCTTAGTGTACAGATTTAGCAACGGTAGTTACAGTGGAATAAAGATGAATTCTGCAAAGTGGATTATCTTGGTTCATCAAAGAAAATGTGGTGCATTGAACTAAACAAAATTGCAAGTATTTGAGCAGCAAGTATCAGTTGTCACAGAGCCTGTTGTATTATTCGGAAACTGGTGAAGAATACAAAAAAAGAAGAACCGATGAAAATCTGCTGTGAAATCACATCGCAAAAAATGGAGTTATCTACCTATCTAGAGTTAGAGCCTTTATTGTTCCCTTTGTGATTTGGCCAAGCTTTGGTTGGTTGGTTACTTGTTCAATATAGGCCATAAGCAATAAATTACAAAACAATAGCTCTAAGTCACTACAATAAACCCATTAGATATGCTGACACACATTAGCGGAGATTGGAGATGACATACATGTTATTCCATAAATTATCCCATCTGACTCACGATTTATGGTTCCGCGTGAGTTACTATGTTTAGAGATGTTCACTGAGCCAAAAGGTGTGTATATTGCAGACGATTATAGAAAACCTTTTAACTCAGTGAAAGTCTTGTAAATGATACTAGCATCTGATTCTAGCAAGCTAAATGTCATCATAATTTGATTTATGAACAGACGAGCATGAATTCTGGTTCTCCTCAAACCCTCATCAATCGTCGCGGCAGGCGACGATTGATGAGGGTTTGAGGAGAACCAGAACAGTTTCAAACTTGATCGAGATGTTGTGTCCATCGCCTACTGAACAAACATCTGATCGTGGGCTCAAAAGCTGATAATGCGAAAATGGCATACAAAGATGAGCATGGCATACATTGACCACTAGGAATAGATTAACGCATTGTTAATGCTGAGAATTTTAGACTTGGTAAAATCATTTTCATCTTAGGGAAAATCATCAACTTACGACAGATTCGTATAATCTGAAAAAAATTTCCACAGGCTGTAAACAAATCTATTTTATAAGTATCGCTCTGAAAGAACCAGGCGACTTTTGCAAGCAGATAAAAATATGAGTGTCTTATTTTTTTAGATTTGAATTTTTATTGCAATGAGTTGTGTTCTTCTTAATTTTCTATTAGAAGCCAAAATATCATTCAGACAGTCGCTATACTCCTCGAGGAGTACAGCATGGCGATCGCCGATATCGGCGACAAAAATCGCCGCTTTTACACGTATTTGATGCATATCGATCGTCGCCGTGCTATACTCCTCGAGGAGTATAGCGGCTGCCTTAGTCAAGCAAGGTATGTAAGCTTTACAATTAAACAAATTCTAATTCAATGTTCAAACAAAAAAGCAGGTTCTCGGTGTCAAAAAATCTTGCGGAACTCCCACTCGTGTAGCATCTTCACATCGGACAACCTACATTTACTGTAGTTTTTGACGGCTAGATATTAAGAAATATTGATGGGTGTAATCTGACAAAGTTTTCTGCCAGAGGTTCTGAGTCGTACATATGTAGTCCCACGCTTTAATCGCTCAGAAATCTGCCATGATTACTGCTCTCATAGCGCCTTGGTTTCTAGAAAAAATCAGTTTTGTGGTCTCTGAATATCGAGGAACAATTTAACAGAGTGCGCCTTTAAACACTGAATCAACAACTTCCCCTGTGAGCCACACTCAATCGGTAAGCTCAAACGGTACTATGTTGAGAGAGAAACAGTATCAGATTTCTTTCGTTCTCTTTGAATCGTACGCGCTTTCCTCTTTGATTCCAGGGCTTTCATAGCTGCACCCGAACCTGAAGATTTATTTCAAATTTATTTTTCCATTCCAAACCGATTTGAAACTGGTGTGTGCTATCCTAGCACTTGTGCCTTGTATAATCATCCTAACTGTAATTTTTGACATTGATAGGGATAGATGATGCAGATGCAGGATTTTATGGCCAGCAAACGCTCAGCTTCTAAGAAGATTTTTGAGTTGTAAGAGCACCTGCAATTTGATCTTGTGCAATTATAGTGAGCACAATCGATAGGTACCATTAAGTGTCAGATATTGCTGATAACAGTGTTTGTCGCTAGGTCACCAAACTTTGATGACATCCTGTCCCTCTTAAATCAAATCACGAAAACTTAATGGTCTTCTTTAGGAAAAAATCACAGAAACAACTTGTATTTCATCTCAGTATGAATTTCCGTTGTACATATCTGAAAATTTGCATGTGTATTTTTTATTAATCCCATTAATTTCGATATATACTTCATTTGCAGTTAGATTTCTAGAGTTCATGCGGCTACTTCCATTGGTATTACTTTTCCCAGTTGCATATTCTTTGATATGCAAGGACATAACTATAGGAACAGCTAATGGTACTTCGTTCAATTTCAAAAATGATTTACAATGTCCGGATAGCACAAAATGGTGTATGAGGTAAATTTTACTGATCCTTCAGTTTCCTCCAATTGTGCCTTCCGTTTTGACTTCCGCTTCAGCTCCGAGAGAGTGCAAACTGCAAAATTAACTGTTCAATACGTTTGATTTTTATCACATTGGTCCTGGAGCTATAAACGAGATTGAAAAGCAAATTGTCTTATTTCTAAAGCCTAGATTCCCAATTTTTGTGTTCTTATGCCCTTATATTGTAATTGTCTTCATACGCCCTCAACAATACCAACAGTATGCCAAAATTAGCCATAGCCAATTGCCATAACTAAGCGTAAGGCATCCGAGATAACTCCAGTCTAACTGTAAAACTATCAGAATGATGGATGCATGATCATTCTGCAGCCTATACTCAGCAGAGAATGAACAGAAATTAACTTAGCCATACCAAATATGCTGCAAATCATCGGACTTGTCCTGAAACGCTGATCACGAATATATGTTTATTATCTGCTAAGCGACAATTTCTGGTGAGTTATGACTGATTAAATGTGCGATTTGCCAGATGTTTTTTGGCGCATGTTCCACGAAATAGGTTCCAAAAATTATTTAAGTTCTTAGTAAATGTGCTTCTTCCTTGTAACTGAAATAGCCATAGCCGCTGTAAATCCGCGCCATCAAGCTGCCTTGCAAGGAAATATATTCGTCGAAACTCGAAGAATTTCTCATATTTGAACGCTCTCAACTCCTCCTCCCAGAAAGTCGCTTTTCAGATAAAAAACATATGTCTGGAATCAACGTTTTAAGACAGTCCAACGATATACAGCTTGTGGACTGGCTGGGTTAAGTTCTGATCACTTCCTCGTTAGTAACTACATTCGGTAAAGCCATCAATTTTGGATGCGACCATACTAGTTCATGCTATGCTGGTTTCATAGTACATATTAGACCGATTTTTGAGTTTTTTGGACTAGTAATGGTTTCATGTTTCTCCCCTAAACTCAGCGTTTTTTGCTGCTGATAATTACTGCTCATATATTCTGATTATTTAACCACTTCACGCGCAATACACAAATCAATAACTTTACAAAAAAGTGAAGGGCTGCGCTTATTTTCAAAGGAGGAGAAAGGTGAGGGAAACAGTCTCATCCAAAGAAAGAGTGGTTAGCCATCTGACCAGTACTCATTCAAACTTAAAATTTCGCAAAGCATGACAAAATCAAGTCAATTACATGCACTTTTCGTGTACTCTAAGCGCTCCTTGAAATCACTCAAAGCAGCCTAAGGCTATCGTCCACAGTTAATTTGTGTGCTTCACTAATTTTCTGTGAACATGCTACGAATCGCTACGAAATGAAATTTAGAAGAAAGTCAGTCTATATGAAAATAAAATTGAATTACTGATTCATCGCTTCAAAAAATGCTTTCTTGCGAACAAGAGATCCAATCTTGCTTGTTGCACCAGTGTTTTAAATGTTGATAAACTGCTGACATGAGTAGATCACTCTTATGAATTGTGAAGAAGCGAAGTAAGCACCGAATTTGTTCGATTCCAAAATCTCCAGGCAATCCATTTGCTTTCAACGCCACATAGCAGTCACTTTCAGCATTAACGGCTCAGTCTCCCTTCCTGGTTTTTCTGTGGAGGGAAATATGGGAAATTGTGAGACTAATGGATTTGTTGGAGCACTAGTCAAAGCCGCAGCACCTTTGATGGACATTACATGCAAGGTAGGGTTTATCTCTTTTGTTCTGTCCCTGGAAAGTAGGGAAACAATGAGGAGGAGGGTTTACTTGATCCATTCAATCGAGAGGTTCACATCGGCAAGCTAGAAGTCATGAAATTGAGAATTCTGTGCATGCTTCAAACCTGCTTTTACACATGAATATACTCGATTAAATTTACTTCATTTAGACAAAAGGCTGCATCGATTATCGGCCACATTTAAATATCACTCAATGTTGCTGCGATACAGACTTTTGTAATCTTGGTTCCACCTCCATTACTGGACTCTTTATAATGGTTTTATCAGCTTTATTCTTGCTCAGCTTATAAAACATTAGGAGAAAAATTCTTCTCTTTTGTTCTGTTTTAAATCAGTAAATGCTTGTTGTTGAGTATTTTTTAGCTATGCCTTGCCATGACATTGTTTCACTGCCTGTTGCTTAGAAGTTTGCAGAATTGTTTCGATGTATTTTTGCGATGCATCTCATATTTTTGCTACTTTTCTTCCCAATGATTATGATCTACCTAGCAAAAATAAATCTTTGCAATATTTTCCGTTCGCCCGTTTCATCCTACAAAATTGATCATAGAGGCTGCTGAGGACATACCAAGTCACAAAAAATAAAAATATACTCATACAGGGTGTCCCAAAAAAATGTTTCGAACGTTTGATCGTTAATATCCTTCTTCCCAAGAGGTCTTTTGCCTTGCTTCAGGTACCGTTTTGTAGAGCTGGCTTCAACTTAGATTTGCATTAGAGAACGAATCACCCGGGTGTAGGCCCTTCTCTCAGACAGCTGGCAGGAACTTCCGCAGCGCTTTCGCAGGGTTTCCGCAGGTGACCCGGCGGAAATCCTGCGAAAGCGCTGCGGAAACCCTGCAATCTCAGGGTGCAGGGTTTCCGCAGCGCTTTCGCAGGATTTTCGCAGCACTTTGCGTTTTTAATCCGCGATCCGTTTTTTCCATATCAAGCTTCCTTTTTGATACTAGGTTTTCCTTTCCAGTACTAGGTTTTCGCTTTTTACTAAGGCATTATTCCTTTGATGTGGAAATTCCTCTGGACTTTCTAGATGCTAAAAGACGTAGACAGCGAGATAGTTTCAATGAGAAAGCAAATGACAGTTATTGTTTTATGCAGGTACCATACAGAATCACAATGGGCCGAAGTTGATAATTGCAAATTAACAGATTCAATGAAGTGTTCATAAATAAATAAACATAAAATTACAGAAGTATTCGAGTATATATGCGTAACCGAATAAGTTTAGTCGGCAGATATGAAGAATTAAACAACAATGTTAAACTGATGGAAGAGTTAAGAATAATGGAATAAGATAAAAACAAGAATAATAATCTCATTCACAAAGGATAATATGCGCTTGAAAGGGAAGATGGTCCTGTGGGGAAATAAACCGCTTCCCCTATCGGGTGCGTTTTGACCTTGTCCGCGCGACTGAAGCCGGCTTCGGCCTCCCTTCCTTTCTGTAATGAGAATTAATTGAAATTTCGTGATGTAAATCGTGCCTTGCCGCAAGTGTTCCATTTTGCAACTTCTTCGCCAAGAAATACGGAGGAAATTTGGACGACTCACTTGAAATTTTGGAAAATTTCGAAATCTCAACAAGAGAAGCTCTGGGACAAATTTGAAAATTACAAGAGTTTTTGCAAAATTTTTTTGGAATTTTCAAATTTGGAGCGACAGAACTTTTGCTTTAATCTAATATTCCCCATTTTCCACACAAAACAGGTATGTGTCAGACTCTAAGGCAGGTATGTGTGAGTGAAAGTTATTATAAGTTATTGTTGGATTTTCGTAAATTAATACTTAGAAAACAATACTAATGAATCGAAAGCTCGCCCCCATCTTTTCAAAAATTCAAACTTTCTCCCTTCACATCCGATCTGCACATGTTTATTTTGAAAGAGGACATGCTTTCTAATGGTACCTGAGGCACTTTTTGATAGCAACAAAGATAGAAGTCGGTGAAGAAAATTACTCTATTTTAATATTCCCCATGTTTGGTCGCAAAAGTGTGCTTGCAGAAAATCGGAGCAACGTAGCTATTATTACCTACTCTTTTTGAGTGCAGAAAGATTGCGCTTATTGAACGTCTCTTAAAAAGTCTTGATCTCTGAGGAAGCCGTAAAAAAGAGTAAATATGATTTTTTGGCATTTGTTTCGAAAATCATAACTTTTCATAAAGAGGTTATCAACGTAAACTTGGCACAGCCAGAAAGAGCAGGCTATAAAACCTATACTGCTCCGATTTCCGTTGCGAGTTTCAGTTTTGCGATCAAACGCAGAGATTTTGAGAATGGAGTACCCTATTTTCAGGTGTACAAGCCGCACCCTTTTTGCTCTAAACGCGAGCAGACCCAGGCGTGCCGCCGCGCATATGTCTCGCGAAGCGGTGGCCTTATCACATACTGCTCTCACTCAACGCGCTCCATGATGACAGTCAGTCTTTTGGCGTGCTCGCCTTTAGAGTGAAAAGGGTGCGGCTTATACACCTGAGAATAGGGTAATGTGGGTGTATGCCAAGATGAACGATAGCTGGCAATAAGCATACTGTACTCCTGCGGTTGTCAATATGTCGCACATAAAGCCTTATTTTTTGAAGCTGTATGTTCCAGACTAGATTGAAAATGGTGTCGAACAGTAAGAATCAGGGCATACAGAGCTTTCAACGTTTTTTTCCAAGTTCGAGATATCATCATAGCGTAAATATGGAATTTGAAAAAGATTTGACCTACGCAGCGCATATGGCTGGCACAATCTATCGTTCATGTTGGCTGCCCCCCGGGTAATTTTCTTCTCCTGCTTCTATCTCTGGAGCTTGCTTCCATTAAAAGGTATAGGTAGGTAACATTGGAAACGTGAATTCGAAAATAAATATGTGCAGATCCGTTGAAGATGTAGGAAGTATCTGGGAAAGAGAAAAGCATTTAGAACAACAAAAACAGAGGAGCAGAGAAGGATAAATATATTAAAGCAGTGGTAGTGCAAGAAACTTCAAGGGGGGGGGGGACAAAAAATCATTTGGGTTTGTGGGCGTGAGCCACCGAACAAAGGGAAACTTAGGAATGGTTGAATTTTCATGGTTCCAGTTTTTGTATGCCCTCGATTTTTTCAAAGCAAAAATGGGCGTGGAGTGAGCCACACCTTCGAAAATTGCCTAAACAGACTACTTTGGAGTTTAGAGGAGCTTTGATCTTTCATTATCTACAGTCGCAGACTACTACGAATGTTCTTGAGACCCATATGCTCCGCCCCTTTCTTTTCATATATTTCTACCACATTATTTCTATTTTACTTAATCATTCAACACTATTATTTAAAAATTTTGATTTCGAATTACTCGAGCTATTATTTCAAATCGTAAGTTTTGAACTTTTTATCTTTGAATCAAAAATTCATTATTTTGTGATGTGTGCGGTATTGTGAGAGGAAAAAGATTTGAAAATCGAAAGCAGAGAGTAGAAAAGGATGGACACACGAAAAGCAGTGGCGGCGCGAGAAATTCATTTAAGGGAGGGGGAGGAAGGGATTGAAACTTTTGGGTTCGTGGGCGTGTGGCCACTTCCAGCAAAAAAAAAAATTCAGGAATGCTTGAACGTTTACAGTTACAATTTTTGTACCACCTTGATTCTTTTTGGCACAGCTCCTTCGAAAATTGTCCGCAACTATCAGGTGGGTCCAAACGTACGTTCGTTACTTTTTCAAAAAATCATAATTTCCTTTCGACTCGATGGATCTCTTTGATTTTTATGATTTATGATTACTCAAGCTTGGCATCTTTTGAGCAGGGTCACTAAAAAATTCTAAAATTTTTCGATAGAACAAATTATGTTCTTTACTATAGTGCCTTTTCCAAAAACAAAAAAGATTGAGAATTAGAAGCAAAAAGAGAACTATTACTTCAGTTTTGCAATTTTTGAGTATGCTCAAAAATGCCCAAAAACGTCACAGAAAAGACGGGTTATTCATGAACATGGGTTTTGTGACCTCCTTCTATGTAGCTGACAGAAATTCGTGCCAATCGAAAGCAATTTTGATTTTCATAGAAAATCAGATCCGAAAACTCGGCAATATAACGAAAATCAAAATTGCTCTCGACTGCCACGAATTTCTCTCAACTAAAAAGAGATGGTCACCAAATCCATGTTCACATGACTTTCTCGTCCCTTCCGACGCAAAACTGAAGTACTCTCTTTATCTGCTTCTAATTCCAATCTTGTTTTTGGAAAAAGCACTATAGTAAAGAGCACGGCTTTCTCTATCGAAAAATTCTTTCAGAATTTATTAGTGACTCTGCTTGAAAAATGCCAATTTTGAGTAATTTTCTGCAGTTGCTTCTAACTTTCGAACTTTTAAACTTTTTTATGCCAATTCATGGCAAAAGTACTGCTGTAAAGAAAATGATTTCTCTCTTATTGTTAGAGAATATAAACGCAAAGAGATCCAACGAGTCAAAAGGAAGTTATGATTTTTTGAAAAACTGGCGAACGTACTGGTCCCACCTAATTTGAATCTGAAAATTTTTTGAAAATATTTCAATATTTACCAAGACCTTGTAAATTGCTTTGAAATTTCGGTACCCGTTTTTCTCTCCCCCTTCTACCTAACTCTTCTGCTTTATTTAGATCCAGTGCACATTTTCTACAAAGTAATAGTTATAAATTACTTGCATTATTATTTCAGTCAAAGCGCATAAAGCAAAGAAGTTCGCATACTTGAACAAGGGGGTTGTGCTTGCGAAATCCCTCCGTTGAGTCCTTTTCCAGCACTCCAGCAGCTTGGTGATGGCTGTTCACACACCTGCACCGATGCCTGAAAGAATACTTAGGATATAGATGAGTTTGGGTTTACTTACGCCAACACTGAAGAAAGAAAGAAAAAAGAGAAAGATTAGAGGAGAAACAGAAGTGAAACAGCATGGAAGAAAAGAGTGCGCTGTGCGCTGTTGATGTTGCGTTCGCTATTTCGCAATCGCGAATGCATGCGCTCTCAAAGTCCTGCGGAAATGCTGGCAGGTCAAAGTGCTGCGGAAACCTTACGAGCCTCACTGCACTCAGCGCTTTATGCAAAGTGCTGCGGAAGTTCCGGTTTATGATCGCTGTGACGTCAAATTCCTGCGGAAACCTCGCATTTTGGAGCGTGCACTTTCTCAATGGTTAAGAAAGTGCTGCGGAAACGCTGCAAGTTCTGCTTGTCCTGCGGAAGTTCCGGTGAATTGTCTGAGTCTGAACCTGCCCCAATCGCGACGGCTATAAGAGGTCAGCGCTAATTAGAGGTCACTCCATGATTGGCTAGCTCGCGGGAGCGAGCAGCTGACCTGGGCAGACGCGCTGCGGAGGCGGACGAGTTTCACATCGCTGGTAACCTACTCCATAATGAAATTCTGGAAGTGATTCTCTAGAAAATTCCTAATTCCCCCAAATTTCCTAGAATTCAATAACTTAAGTTATTCGCTCTACTCTACACTACTTAAATCGCCGGTTACTTTCTAAGGTGGTATGTTTTTAACCTTTTCAAGTCTTTTTCGACTTATTTTG